GCTGGAGATATTCAAAAGCCGTCTGGATGTGATCCTGGGCAATATGCTCTAGGTGACCCTGCTTGAGCAGGGAGGTTGGACGAGATGATCTCCAGAGGTCCCTTCCAACCTAAACGATTCTGTGATTCTGTAACTACGTCCCCAAAAACACCTACAACTATCCGCTGGCTATAAAGGAGGTGGAGACAACTGCCTAAGACGCAGGCACTAATGCTAGACTCGAAGACAGACAAATCCCACGGAAATAACTTTATTCTGTGCATTTAACAGCTTCTCCCTATTTAGGACGTGCCATTCTTTTTAAAGGACGTGTCGTTCATACATTAGAGCACGAAGGTGAAAGGCAACAGTCATAAGCAGGGAAATCTTGACCAAACATTGGGGAGCAAATCTCCCCCCTGAAAGCAGTGCAGCCCTGCGACAGAGGTCCAGAGAGCTGATGGGATCTCCAGCCTTGAAGATTCTGAAAATGCATGCCACCTAATCCAGCCTAGAAGTAATCCCTGCTCCGAGCAGGAGGTGGCAGTGGAGACCTCCACAAGTTCCTTCCAACCTAAAGTCTTTCTGTGAGTCTATGAAGTACTGAGGTCTGATTTTAAAAAAAAAAAAAAAAAAAAAGGTCTTCTTTTCCTCCCTTCCCTTTGTCAGGGCCACATTTTGAGCCATGTCCCAGGACCCAGCCAGACCCAGGGGTAAATTCTTGTCCCATTGAATGACGCTAGTGGAAATGTGAAGACTGGAGTCTGCTCATCAACATTGAAAAATGCCACCCGTCCCTGTTCGTAATCCAGGAACACCCGGATCCGTTTGGGACCCTGGATTTCGGAAAAGAGAGTGTGATCAGGGGAGGTGAGAGCTTGGAAGCGACCTGCCCACTGCCCCAACGCCCAGATGCCCTCCTCTGGTTTAAACTCGATCTCCCCTTTCCTTCTCACGTCTTCTCTAGAAACCCCCACTGTCCATCCTCCTCCATCCACCACCTCCACTTCCCAGTAGTATCTCCCTGAGGTGAAGCCTTCACGGCCTAGCACGCAGCGCCATGGCTTAAACCTCTGTGGGATATCAGGGATGTCCTGTGGCTTGTCTTCTCGTTTCACACTTTTGCAGTCGTCGGACAGGACTAGGTCGCAATGGGCTGTGTCTGGATCCAGAATCACCTTCACTGTGAGAGAGAGAGAGTCAATGAGTCAGGGGCAGAGCTCAGCTCTGGGAGAGGACTTCACACAGGTTGCAAAAGGAAGAAGAGAAAGGTAGCAAGTAATAGCTGGCTGACAAGGGGAAGCTGCGCAAGGCCACAGTGTTTGTACGAGGATCTGAAAACGAACTAGAAAGATACAGCTGAGCAGAGGATCATCAGCAGACCTCCAGTCTGAGGAAGTTCCCATGTCTCTAAAGCATAGCCAGCATCGCTCATTGAGGACCAGGACTCTACAAACTTCCGTGAAACTGGAGCATGTGCCCATCCAACAAGGGTTACACTTTCTCCTGCAAACTGGGGATTGGCAGAAGCCTCTCTGGTACCACCAGGGTCACTGTGGGAGGGGAACCATCACAAAGGGATCAAAGCAAGGAAAATGATTCGGCATCCCAAGCCCAAGAGTTTAACATGGAGAAAAGAGGAAAAAACAATACTGATGGGTCTACAGAAACAGAGCATACAGGAGATGAGGAGAACGGAGAAAAAGAGAGGAGAACATGTTGAAAGGGAGGATAAAAGGCCTCAGGTGGAGCTGTGGCCAGAAAAGGGGGACAATGCAGCCAGGCATTGCCCCAGCAGCCGCATGCTGTTCTGGCTGCGATTTCAGGGAACGGGGAATGGCCCGTTGGGCGCTCGGGGCCTGGAGATGCCTTTTCTGGGCTGTGCATACTCCAGAACCTGACTTCAGCGAGTGAGAGAAAACTACCTGTCTCCCATGCAAGGGACGCACTCCGCTTTCTCCTCTCCAGTATATTTGGGGAATAGATTTAAAAAACACGGAAAGACCGAATTTTAATTACCTTCTTCTATAGGCACTGCATATCTCCTCCACGCTTTAGAAAGAAAGAAAAATAAAGAAAGATTTCAAATGAGACGTAATCTGAACACGCTCGGGGTATGGTGTTAGCTCCGGGTAGATACGCCAGCGCAGTTACACCTACTCCAAATTGCTGCTATGTCTCTGAAAGTCGTCCCACAGCAGGTAACTTTAAAACTGGAACGTCTAATGCTGTGGAAAAACTCCACCTATTTTGTATAAATTTAATCACACCGTCCAGAGTCACATGCACACTTAAGGTCTGCGCATACTGTCTTTGAGGAGAAGTAGTATATTTTTCCTAGCATGCTGCTAGGATTGCAGGGAATAGCTTAAAAAGTCAGAGAGAGCAAAAAAAAATTCAGTTTTGGAAATGAATTCAGCGTTTTGCCTCTCACTTCAGGAATTTGGTGATCCACTTTGTCTTTTTCCAGAAAACAATTGCATCTTTCATTAAGCCTCTTACCTTTATCAGATATGAAAACATCTATATATTTTACAACCTTCTATTACATTAGGTTTTCCGTACTGAAAACTTAGGTACCATGTAATGAAACCTTTTTTTTTCTTTTTTTTTTTTTGCAGTAATACTTCAGGTTTATCAAATGACCCCCCAAGCATAGTTATAATAAATGACAATTTAGCATCTGTGTGAGAAAACAGTAGCAAAACCAGCGCCTAAACGCGGCATCCAGACAGAAGCATCACCCCGCTGAAACGTTTCCTACGTAGGAGGGAGAACGATACTCACCAAGTTCTTTGGCTTGTTTTTCTGATGTTTTTTAAAAAAAAAAAAAAAAAAAAAAAAAAAAAGAAAATCGGATGGGTTACGGGATACACACAGCCACCTGCACGTGCCGCAGGGCAACGCGCGGCCCTTGGGTGCGCGGGAACTGCTCCGATTTCCCAGCGTTTCCAGCAAATCCCGGCAGTCCAAGCAGCATTTTCAACTATATTTAATTTTTTAATTTTTTTTTTTTAATTTTTTGCTGCTCAGCTCTACTCTCTCCCTGCCTGCCACCTCTCATATACTCATATAAACCCAGTAAAAAAAAAAATCCCTTGTAAGAAGGAGAAGGAGACTCACCCATTTCTGCTTCCTGGTCCCCTAAAAAACAAACAGAAACACACAAGTTAATTTTTCTCTATTTAATAGATTTATTTCCTCGGGATCCCAGTTAAAGGACTGTAAGGATGAGGGTTGCTTTGGCGGAGGGGGCAAATTCACTGACTTTTACCCTCCTTGCAAGGATGCTCCGAATCCCTGTGCATAGACACCAGCCAAGTTAAACTGCCTATATTTTCCCTGTTGGTTTGCACTGGAAACAACTCAGAAAGAGCTCAGTTTTTAATAGTTAAAGCGTTATTTCTCGGGAACTCTGAGCCGGAAACAAAACAAAACAAAAAATGAGTAACTCAGTGCACCCTCTTCAAATGTTTTTTTTTTTTAATTCATTTAGTGAGAATGCAATCTAGCTTTTGGTAAGAAAACTCTCAACAGCATAGTTTTCCCATGCTCTTCTCCCTGAAAGCATTAGCTTTCCAGGACCGTTGCAGTACTTAAATTAAAATGAGAGTGCTAAAAAAAAAAAGCATTGACAGCCACTCAGGAAAAAAAAATCCTAGCACTTTTTGGGCTGAATCTGCACATTATTAGGATTTGGGGCAGGGAGGGGAGTAAAGCATTTCCATAAAAGAAGCATTCAGCCCAAAAGAGAGGATGAATGAAAATATCCGGGGGGGTTTTCAAGAAGAATTAAGCCCGGGGAAGAAGGAGAGTGAGACTTACACAGTGCCGCCGCTTGCGTCGCTGAAAAGCAAAAACCAAAAGAGCGTGTTAGCACCAAAACCGATCGCTCTTGCATGGACACACGCGGGAAGTACCGTCGAGGGACCTTTGCCAAGCAAAGCGCACTCGTGATAAATCATCCGCTCGCGCTTTCTTCCGTTCCACAATAATTTTTCCCAAAATCTCAGCGTAATTTCCTAATTTCAAATAGCCACTGGCTCCCACCTGCCCCCCAAAAAACGTGCCCCGGGGAGCCTCATTTTTCCGGGAATGCTTCAATTTTTGCAAGCTGGAAAATAAAACTTACCTATTTTTGCCTCGTGCTTTCCTGCGAAAGAAAGACAAAAAACGTAAATCTTTTTTTTTTTTTTTAAATAGCCCTTTCCAATGAATGCCTGTTAAACTACCACCTAAGTTAAAAGCATTTGCAACATGGAAAGGCCTCTGGTAGTGCTGCAGTGGCTACAAGACCCACTTTTGGTAATCTTTTTGGTAAAAAACACCAGAATTCCATTTATTCCTCTGCATTATTTATGTGTTGCAGGGCAGCATGGAAAAATAATCTTTCCTTCCCCACCGGAAAGGAGAGTGTTGCATTTTTATGCTCCGATACGTGGGCACCAAGACGAGGCTCCAGCATCCTCCTGGACTTTCCCAAACCCACCACTCTGTCAAAACCAGAAGCAGTTAAACATTACAAATCTTTTCCAGTTGCCCTTGCCCGGATGCCGCGCGGAGATAATACCTTTAATTTTAAAGAGATAAAAGGCGGTAATAAACAGAGCGAGCGCAGCGACCATGACCAGACTCAGGGAGATCTTCCAAGGATGGGCGTTTTGGAAGAAGGGATCTGCAAAATAAAAGGTTACTCTGCAAGTGGTGGCAGAAACCGGATCGTTTCTAGTTCGGGCAAGCCCACCCCAAGCAAGTCTGAATGCCACCAAGGGTGAAAACCAGCTCCTGATTGCACTACACGACCCGATGAGACAAAGACGTAACCAAAAAAAAAAGCAATTTAACGCTCCTATGAGGCTGATGATAATTTGTCCGCATAAGTTGCGGGAGATTTTGAAAAGGGAAAACGGATTTCTGACTGAATTATCTCCAATTAAATCATGCTTTCTTCTCCTTTTCGGCTTAGGGGCATGACTTATTTTTCGTTAGGCAACCTGGGAATAGAAGAAGTCCAGATTCTTGTTAAATCCTCTGGATTAGCAGCCAAAATTGCAGCGCGGTGCGGTTTGAAACACAGTTATCCCGGTTCGCCATCGGGTCTCCGTTCTGATATTTCCGTCCCCCGCAAAAATATCAACTCTCCAGTTTGGGGGGGAAAAAAAGGGGGGGGGATATTTTCTGTGTGACAAGGAAAAAAATAAAATCAAAATATGTTCAAGTGTCCTGCAGGTGAGAAAAATGAGGCACGACGCATTTGTCACGCCCAAGCAGCAGAGCAGGATTTCGCAGCAGGATTTTGCCCGCTAAGGGCAAGGGTTGGTTTCTTGTTTCTGTTTGCTTCTAACGTTATGAACGCTTGTATTTAAAATAAGCGTCTCTCAAAAATGTGTTAGAAAGTCTTTTTTTTTTCCCCCCTTCCCCTTAAACCCACGCTGAGAGATAGGTCCCGCGAATTTCGACACCGACCGCAAGCCGCCTTGATCTGCAAGCGCAGCGCCGATTTGCGCTGCTCAGTGGGCCAACGCTTAATTTTCTTTTATTTATTTTTGCAACGCTTCCGGCATTGCGAACGGCCCCCGGGCGATGCCTTTGCCCGCGGGCTTACCTGCTATATAAAAAGCCGAGTCCTTTTCGTGGTGATGCAGGGCGTCCCGGATCAAACAGGACAGCTTCTGGTTTGCAGCCCGGCTGAGGACCACGGTGCTCTCAGCCTCGGAGGGGAGAGGCTGGCCCCGGCAGCCCCTCCACAGCACCTGGGGCTGGGGGTACCAGCTGGCCCCGCGGCACGCCACGCGGACGCCACCGGCCTCGTAGCCCTCCAGCGAGATGAGTGGGGCCAAGCCAGTGGCTGGAGGAAAGCAAAGCACCCCGGGTTATTCCCCATGCGAGCGGACCTTGCAGGATGCTGGAGATGTGGGGCGGGAGGTGGGCCCCGGCAGCCCCTCCACAGCACCTGGGGCTGGGGGTACCAGCTGGCCCCGCGGCACGCCACGCGGACGCCACCGGCCTCGTAGCCCTCCAGCGAGATGAGTGGGGCCAAGCCAGTGGCTGGAGGAAAGCAAAGCACCCCGGGTTATTCCCCATGCGAGCGGACCTTGCAGGATGCTGGAGATGTGGGGCGGGAGGTGGTGCAACTCTTCCTTTGGCTGAGAAGGAGGAATAAACCCTGATGGTGGAGAAATCCCTATTTTTCAGGGTCATACAGGCATCTTAAGTGCCAGCTGCAATCAGAGGCAGAAGCGCAGAGGCTTTTCCAGCCTTTTTTTTTTACACGATCCAAAGCAATCTGCTCTGGAGACTGTCGTCTCGGCAAGAAAACCTTCAAGCCTGGCCATTAAAACATACCCGCATGGACTAAGACCTTCTTCCTTCATTACCCCATTGCAATTTTTTTCCTTGCACACATTAACATTGTGAAAATAACACTAAGAAGACTTTTGAAGTAGGTGGGACATCTCAGGAGCTCCTTGCCACCGTTTAATGGATCATATTCGCTCTCTAAGAGATCTCGGTTACTTTTTTTAAGGAGGAAAACTAAGGCGTTTGGCAAAACCCCGCTCCCAAAGTGACACCCTGAAATTGCTTATGGGACAGGTGACATGTCTAGGGCCAAGCGGATCAGAGAGATTGAGACCCATCCAGCAACAGAAATGGGGATGCCAGCTACAGACCTGTCACCTTCAGCTCCAGGACAGCTTCCTCGTAGCCTGAATTGGCGTGAACGAAGCAGGTGTAATTCCCTTCGTCAGACAGGCGGACGCTGAAGATTTTCAAGTCCACGCTACCGTTGTTGAGGCCATCCCGCAGCAGCTCGGTCCGCCCTTGGTACTGCAGCATCTGCTCGCCGTGCTGGTCCTTTCCCGCCTTGAAGCGGTGCACGAAGGGCGAGAAGTGTCCTCGAAACCAGGTCACCTCCATGGCCCAGGCGCTCTGCTCCGGCGAGAGGCGGCAGGGCAGCACTGCGTTGTCTCCCACGACGGCCACCACGGGATGCACCTGTCCCGTCACCCTGAATGGAGCTGGGCAAAAATGCCACGTGGACTCGCTTATTGATATTCTTCAGAAAACCAACAGATCCACCCATGCCTGCATTTCACCCCACCGCCGTTCCGACGCTCCGAGTGCACCGGATGCAATGAGTTGAGGGACACGTGTGGTGCAACATGCTACTTCTGCTTTCAGGCCTGTCCTGTGCTATAGTGGAAGGTCTTCCAACAGGATCTAACATCTCTCCTAAAGGGGGCGAGCACTGCTTGGGCGTTGGAGCACGGAGAAGGTAGGAGAAAGAAAGAAGGGAGCGGTGGGAAGGGGCTGAGCTGGTTTTGGGTCGTCGACTGGAGAAAATGGACAACCTGGACACAAAACTCAAACACCCTCAGCTATTCATATCTACTACAACAAAAAATATAAAGCTATCACCTCCTCTGGGCAATTACTGGAAATTTTTGTTTAAATGCATATTAATAAGCTGGGCAGCTCAGCCAGCTTAAAAAAAAAAACATTTTTCTGGCTCCCTTTCTTGCAAGGCAGCTTTCAAGTCTACTCAGCAAGACGATCAAGGGAGGTTGCCATGCTTGAACGGTGCAATTAGAGCAGGTAAAGCCAATCTGAAGGTTTTCTGCCCAGAAAAGGGAGCAGGCGCTTTGGGACCTTCTCCCCAGCTACACTATCCTGCTGCACCGCTGTGCCAGGGCTGCTGTGATTCAGGTCAGTAATCTGACAGCAAAAGAGCCCAGATTTTTTTCTTTATATAAAGATTTTTTTTTTGATTCATTGAATCAAAAGGGTCCAGCGCATCCCGTACTCAGCCCAGCAGAGGTCAAGAGGTGGGATCACAAGAGGGAAATGGCAACAAGCATTAAATCAACCCATCTGCATCATCTTATCACCCCGCGAGGCCACCGAGGTTGGGCGAATGCCACACTAACACAGCAAAAAGAACAGAAATGAAGATCTGGAGGGATACTACTGTTTTTTATGCCTGACCCTGCTCTGCATTTAACCACCCGTTGGGAGCTCTGAGGAAACGATCCAGGCTGGAAGCAATTTGCTGGGGACCAGCAGGACCACAGCGATCCCTACCTGATTGCAGCTCATGGACACGGAGAGCGAAAAGGCAGATAAAACCAGGCAGGGTGAGGCTGGCGGGGAAGGAAAGGACCATCTTCCTCGCAGGCGTGCACCCTGGAGCCGGGGAAGGAAGGAGAAAAGGAAAAAGGGAACAGAGTGTTTATGAAAAAAGGACATTTGAAAGACTGAATTTTGTGGGGAACAATTTATGCTTAAAGGGAACAAATGCTGATTTTAGCTCTTTTTTTTATAATGCCCAGCGAACAGTCATTTGATAGCTAAAATTGCAATCCATTTTCTACCATTGGCCTGACTTTGCTTTGCACGCATTACTTTACATGCAAAGTAGCCCGACAGGTATAAAAAGCTGTAGAAATTTCCCACAGGGAAGCAAAAGACAAGCTCCAGCATCTCCTCGAATTCAGCTAAAATGAAAAAGAAAAAGCAACAGTTGTTTTAATGGGTGCTCCTTTTTTTTCCTTATTTTTTTCTTTTCTTCTTTTCAGCCCTCAGAGCTAGAAAGACGCTGGGAGAAAACCAGGCCAAGTGGGTTAGAGCAGCATAATTGAACTGCTCCCAGGGTGCCAAAAGGGCTCAGGTGGGAGGAAAATGCAGAAGGGGAACAACAGAAATGCTAATGCAACCCACCGCCCACAGAGGAGATCGTGTTGCTGTGAATTCCTGCTTTTTTTTTTAGACCAATTTCTGCAGAGATTACAGAAAGCGACTGGAATTTGCAGCTTTCGGAGGAAGAGACGCCACTTACCTGGCCGACCCTCCTAGGTGGATGCTCGAGCTCTTCAGGCTCCAGCCGGGGTGTTGTGCTGGGAGCGACACCTCGACACGTCCACCCCGGCAGATAACGGGCTCAGCTGCCGGTCCCTGGCGCCAGCAAAGCATTTCCCTGCACAGAAAAACAAAACCTTATGCCATTCCCAGACTGCTGGCACGAACCTCCATCGCCACTTCCCCATTGAAAGCGAAAGCAGCTCCGCGTCACCACGGTTTTGTCACTGCTTTTGCCCCGGAAATGCTCTCTTCAAGGAATTTCTGCAGCCTCGGCATCAGCAAGCCTGTGCCCGGGTTGCGTATCACAGCCTCCTGCTTTGCCTCTCCCCAGGGCAGGTTTCAGCAGCACTTTGCAAGCTCCGAGGCGAAGGAGCAGGGCAAGGACGGAGGTGACAGAGCAGGGACTATAAACCCAAGCTGGTGCAGGAGTCGAGGGGATGAACCACAGCAATAACTTTCCCTGAAAAGCAATTTCCCCCCTGAACTGGCTGTCAGGGATGGTTTGGGTGGGGAAAGCTGCTGAGACATGACGTCTCTGCATTTTTGCTAGCTCGTCCCCTCCAGGCGCTTAGCAAAGCAAGCAGGATGGGATCCTGCACCTTTCTCGTATCCAGCTGGGAGGTTTCTGCTGAAGCACGAGCTCCGCAGGCTCCCGCATTTGTTCGGGCATCCGCAGACTTCACTTGAGTGCACTAGGTGCCTACAGCAACTCATGCTGTGCCCTGCCCATGCCACCATGCAGGCACCAGTTATCCCTGAATATCTCCCGCAGAGCCAGCCTGTCCCCAGTCCTCCCTTCCCAGGTCCTTTTCCCATCACCAGGTGGCAGAGCAGCTCCCAGGTCCTTTTCCCATCACCAGGTGGCAGAGCAGCACGTTCGTGGGAGCAGACTGTGGATTTTGGAGCAATTTCATGGGGTAGAGTCATCTCTACCTCCTGGGCCGTTCCCGGGGAGCAAAGGTGAAGCTGCTGGGCCTGTGAACAGTAGCCTGGAGAATGAAGAGGTTGGATGTAAAGCCCAGCATGAGCCATCCCTGTCTACAGGTTGAGCAATCTGGGCAACTTACGCCCTGCAAGCATCTCCACCAGCAAAGCCCAGCATGAGCCATCCTTGTCTACATGTTGAGCAATCCCAGCAACTTGCACCCTGCAAGCATCTCCACCAGCAAAGCCCCAAAACCCATCAACAGCATGAGAAATCCCACCAGGCAGCAGCCGTAAGGGCCCAGACCTCTTCTCTCATCCCACCACATCAAGGGGTATGCAGTCTTGGCATCCTCTGTGTCAGCCCAGAGCGTGGCCATGGCAGGGGGAGTTTTTCCCTAGGGCCTGCTGATCTGCGGCTGGTGTCCCTGCACAACATCCTGCGCTGACCTGGGGTGGCTCCCAAGATGACCGACCCTGGCCAGGCTCTGCAGTCCCTGCTGCAGGGAGATACAGCAGCTCTCAGCAGCACAGGAAGCTCTTATCACTGACCTGCAGCTGGCCAGGGGGAGGCGTGGAAATCCCGCAGCATGGGAGCCACATCTCCACAAACAGCCCCACGGAGCCCTGCAGGAACGCTGGGAGCAGAATCCCAAGATGGGCATAATGGAGATATGCAACACAAGGATTAAATGAGATCCCACTACCACACCGGAGCACAGGGATTGGTCACTGAGACGAAGACAGAAGGTCCCTTGGGGTGGCACTGTGGGGAGGCGAAGGTGCCCAGTGCCCAGGTGTGCTCTCCAAGCCCGTCCAGCTGCAGGAGGCTCCTCCAAGGTTTTGCCCATTCACTTGCGCGAGCTGGAAATGCTGTGTGAGTCCAGTCCCTCCACTCTTCCCACCACCTGATGGAGGGTCAAGCAGCCTGAAGGCCATCAGATCCATCCAAAAAGCTCCTTTCCTGGAGTCATCCCACAGGGGAGCGCTGGCTGTCTAAAAAACGCCTGAATGCCGTGACTCTTCCATCATTCCCTCCACTTCTTTCACCATTTGGTCTTGAGTCTTGCCATCCACTTCCAACCAGGAATCCTGCTGATCAATGTCCTGTGGATTTTCTGCAGACATGCAGGTACCCGAGCTGGAGGAAGACGAGAAGGAGGCCTGGGCTGATGAAGTGGAGGAGATGAGCGAAAAAGGTGAGTTCCAAGGAGGGAAGAAGAGAGGTGTCATCCTCTGCTTGGGAGAAAATTGCATTCTGTGTCTAATGTGGAAGAGCTGGTGCAAGTCAACACACTCAGGGCTTGTCCCAGGCTGGGCTTGCCATAGGGTTGAGATGTGGCGGCCGCAACATCCCAGCTGGATACCCCTGTAGACTTCCCACCAAAGATGCCCAAGTTCACTCCATGGCCCACTAGGAGAAAGAGGGAATTTGGGGGCAGAAGTTGATGTCTATCTGAGCTGATTTGTGCCCAGACACACCTAGGAGCATCGAGGCATCACCAAGACTGGGACAATCCAGTGCCAGGGGTTTTCCCACCCCATGCTGGAGACTGCTGGGGGCAAGGAGATGCCTTCTCTTGCCAGGGTGGACACAGCCATGACATGTCCTACTTTCCCCAGGGCTGCCCCTCCTCAGGGTCTTCTCCTCCTCTTTCCCCAGTGGATGTCACCCTGGACCCAGGCACTGCCAATCCCTTCCTGGTCCTAGCGGCGGATCGGCGAGGCGTGAGACGGGGAGACACATGGGCTTCACTGCCCGACACCCCAGAGAGGTTCACCACCGAGCCCTGCGTGCTGGGCTGCCCAGGCTTCACTGTGGGGCAGCACCACTGGGAGGTGGCGGTGGCCAACGGCGGGGACTGGTGGGCCACTGGGGTGGCTGGAGGATTCATCCGGAGGAAGGGCGTCCTCCAGCTTTCCCCCGAAGAGGGGATTTGGGCAATGGGGCAGTGGTTCGGGCAATACCATGCTTTCACTCACCCTGACTGGACCCCCTTGCACCTCCACCGGCCACCCAGGACCATTCGGGTGTCCCTGGACTGCACTGGCGGGCAGGTGACCTTCGCTGACGCTGAGGACAGAGCTCCCATCTTTGCTTTCTCCCTGTGCCTGTGCCCCGGCGAGACCCTGCACCCTTGGCTCTACGTTGGGAGCAACTCGTGGCTCACGCTGTGTCCCTGATGTGGTGGGACTGCTGGTGGCCGCAGGGCTCCTCCTCCCCAAAAACACAATATATAGGGATATAGCTGTTCCCTATAGTTATAAGGATAGAGGGAATATTCCCTATAGCTCATGCCCCTCTATAGCTATCCCTAGAGCTATAGGGATATATAGGGATATAGCTTCTCTACTGCTATTCCCTATAGCTATAGAGATCTATATAAGCATATAGCTCCTCTACAGTTATTCCCTCAAGCTAAAGGGATAATATATAGGGATATAGCTCCTCTATAGATATTCGCTAGAGCCTATAGAGATATAGGAAATAGTCCCTACTGCCATAAGGATAGGGCTATAGCTATAGGAAATAGCTATAGGAGAGTGTGAGCTCCTCCAAAGGGAGCTGGCGCCCCTGATAACACTTCTTATCTTTTCCATACATTCAGAGCTGCTCCCTGCCTCCTTTCCAGCTCTCGCTGCCGTGTGCATCGGGCACGCGTGTTTTCCTTCCTGCTTCTCACCGGAGATTTTATTCCCAATCCTGGGCACTGTTTCCATCCTGCATGTGTGTCCTCTTCGCCTCCCCCCTCCCGTTCCACCCTCCGCCCTTTCGCATTTCAGCATTTTGCACAGGCCTAGATGGAGCCAACGCATTAAAAAAATGTAAAAAAAGGGGGGGAAAAAAAAAGCACTTTCAATCTGGCGGGAGAGAATTTAGTTTCATCTTTACCTGTTTGTCCAGTTTTTGAACTTTGGGTTATTTAAATAAGCGGAGCAATCACAGGCAATGCAAAGCCGTGTAACGTCACGCCCCGGCGCGGCCGCAGAGCAGCAAGTCACAGCCCGGCAATTCCCACGGCCTCTGCCTATATTTCGGCGAATTCCCGGCAGTACTTCTTCTTTGGGTTGGGAAGATCCGAACCTCTACGTTTTCTTCCCGAAAACCCTGTCACAACCAGGGGGGGAAAAAAAAGCCTAGCAGAATGCCCAAGCGGATAGATTAATCGATTAAAGAAGCAGCGATTTTTTT